AGGTCTAGGTTGGACATTAGGAAAAAGTTCCTAACTGGTCAGGGTGGTTAAACACTGGAATAAATTGCCTAGGGAGGTTGTGGAATCTCCATCTCTGGAGATATTTAAGAGTAGGTTAGATAAATGTCTATCAGGGATGGTCTAGACAGTATTTGGTCCTGCCATGCGGGCAGGGGACTGGACTCGATGACCTCTCGAGGTCCCTTCCAGTCCTAGAATCTATGAATCTATGAATTAATGAACATTCCCAGGGCAAATCCCCACCCTGCTGTGGCCACCCAAGGCCTTGCTCTTCCCCTGCAAAGAAGCCACATAACTGCAGTCAGCAGCCTCTTGTGGCCACCGCAAAAGTGCAGGGGAGGGAGGGGCCTGTGTGGCGCTCCAGAGAGAGGCCAGTAGATTTGATACTTAGCCCTGAACACACCTACCTACCATGGACTGTAAGGCAGCTACATCCCTGCTGCACAGGTGCCCATGCCCTTTCTTCAGGCAGTGGTTCCCAACATGTGGCCCACGGGCTGCTTGCAGCCCAATCAGCACAGAGCGGCGGCCGATATGACATCCCCAGGGCCATACAGGTAGTATTGGATGCAGCCCACAATGGTAAGTAGGTTGAGAACCACTGCTTCAGGGGAAGGGATGGTCCTGCCCTCCCATGGGTCCTCTCTCCCATGTCCATGTGCTGCAGTCACAGAGGGGTAAGAATCTCCTCTCCCACCACGTTGGTTGTAGGCTGCTCTGATTTACACTGCTGGGAGTAAGAGGAGACTCAGGCCATGTGGCACACTGCACAAAGCAGAACCTCAGAGCTGCTGGGCTCAAGGAGGCAATCAGCCCTTTACTTCCAAGCCCTTCATCTGTGAAAACACACAGCACTGAGCCCTCCAGCTGCAAGGAGCTGGGGTACCCAGAGGCAGCTCCCAGGAAGGGTAACCGTAGTAGTGTGATTCAGAACAAGGTAGGCGCATGCGTCCACCAGGGAGCCACCACTGCAGCTGGGAGCGTGCGGCCAGCTTGGGTTGGCAGGCACACAGTAGCTCTGTTCTAGCTGCATATCAGGGGGTAACATGGGCAGTGGCTCAGGTTAGATACCCAAGTATTCACTGGTCCAGCTGGATTGGAGGCTGGTGGCTAGCCCAAGCCCTGCCCATGCTACTCTTGGTTACAGCTAGCCTAAGCAGAGGGAGTGTGTCTCTCTGCTGGAGTTGGGAAGCACTGTCGCAGCTGCAGTGTAGATGCACCCTCAGAGGAGCCTCTCTTTATTAGTTTCACTGTCCTGCTTTCAGATGCCCCCAGCCTCCCCTGGAAGTAGGGTGACCAGACAAGAAGTATGAAAAATCGGGACAGGGGGTGGGGGGTAATAGGAGCCTATATAAGAAAAAGACCCAAAAATCAGGACTGTCCCTATAAAATCGGGACATCTGGTCACCCTACCTGGAAGATTTCTGTAAAATAAGGGCCAGGTCAGGAAAGAGCAAGGCATACCAATGGACAAGCTCAGTGAAAGGCAGCTCCTCCCTGCAGGGGGAAGGAGGGGTCGCCTAGCTTGTCTCTAGTCTCTCTGGAGGTTCATAATGCTGCTCATCAGTGGTAGTTGAGGGCTAATCCCTGAGCCTGTCCACCACACAACCTGCATCCTTCCTCTGAATCCCACCTCCAAACCCTACTTCTTTCTCACAGTGACCCTGGCCCAATGTCATCTAGCCTCTTTGCATCACCTCTTGCTGCACCTCCCTTCGACTGCAGCTTCTTAAAGCATGGACCAGGCTTTCATTCTCTCTGTAGTGTGCTATACATACCTGGAATGCTGTGAGCTATATAATTACATCCCCCAAAACGCTATGTTAAAAGAACACTAAGGTTTCACATTTCAGCAATCAAAAGTTAGGAAATGCCAGAATTAAGGCTGCCTGTGTCACCTTAATCCAGCCCCTTGGCCTCACGCCATGATCACATACCACTTCCTCCACAGGACCCTTGCCGCCTTCAGTGAATGAGGAATTCTTCAATATTTCTTTTAATCCTCCTCATTCAGTGTGTGGCCCACAT